GCCTTGGAAGAAAGGCCAGGTGATAAGCTTCCAAAATGTCACAGCCTTAAAAACCCTATGGAGTGTACTTCTACTCCACTCCATGGTGCACATAAATCACCATGAGTTGACTTACGAAATATATACCTTTATATAGCTATTTGTATTCATGAATACCCTTTAAAATTATGAATTCTTTGAGGATATGAGCCATCATATTTACCTTTGCACACAATAGGCATTATTATTTATTACTTGACTACCTGAATCATGATACTTTGATTCATGCAGCAAACTTACTTACTACCAGTCAGCTCTTCCGGAATTTATAATGGATTCATGAGATTAAAATGATTACAGTCTTTGAAACTGGGATCAAAAAGCCTATTGTGTTTTTAATCTCATAAACTAGGTGGCATTTTTATGCTGTACGTGAATGCATTTTACTTTGTGTTGATGTGAAATTAAAGAATGAGTATTTAGATCATGGCTAACCGACGTTTCTGATTCAACACCACTCTTATCTACAACTCATCCTGCTGTGCCAACACTGGGGTTGATGGTGAGGGGTCACACGGGGCACAGAGGGTGTTCCAAAACAATAACAACCAAACCCAATGCTGTTGAGTCGATTCTGACTCACAGTGACCCTATAGGACAGAATAGAACTATCCCTAGTGTTTCCAAGGTTGTAAATCTTTATGAAAGCAGACTGCTACATCTTTCTACCACTGACCTTTTGGTTAGAAGCCGAGTTCTTTAACCATTACACCACCAAGCCTCCTACAGAGGGTGTTACAACTCCCTAAACGTGTGCTACTAGACCACATGCATGCATACTGCGTATGATAAGAAATTGAGCTGCTAGGAAGCTTTGATCAGGTTCAACACCTCAAAAGGAGATCATCATGACATTATCCTCCCTGCCACCCCCTTCTGCAGACCTGCTCCCCTTCCTTTGTGCCTGGTCTGTCTTGACGAATGGCTCTGATGTTCTCCCGGATCTCCAGGCCAGAAGTCAAGTAGACCTGTAGACCCCTGGTAGACTCATAGACCCCTCCTGCCCTTCACGAACACCTACATCTCATTCACCATTTCACTGTTCCTCTGCTTTGTCTCATCCTTTCATCATTACCACCACTGCCTGAATTTCAAATTTTCTGCATTTCTTTGCTGGCTTCCCTACTGACTTCTCCATTTTCACTCTTGTCTCTTTCACCAGAGTGATCTTCAATAAAACGCATTTCTAATCACTTTGCTCCCCTGCTTAAAATCCTTCACTGGCTCCCCATTGCCGTCAATGGAAGACCCAACCTCTTAGCAAGTTTTACAAACCTTTTCTGGTCCAAACCAAAAACACCCAAACCGGTTGCCATTGAATCAGTCCTGACTCATGGCGACCCCATGTGTGTCAGAGTAGAACTCTGCTCCATGGAGTTTTCAACTGCTGATCTTTTGGGAGTAGATCACCAGATCTTTCTTCCAAGGCAACTGAGGGTGGATTTGAATCACCAAACTCTTGTTGATAGCTGAGTGCCATCCAAGTACTCCTTTCTGGTCCAGTTCCTGCCTTATTTTCTAGAACCCTATTTCTCTTCTCTCCAACTCACACTTCACTCTGTAGCTCTATTGAGCTACTGTGGAGAGTTTCTCTCGCCTCTGAGTTTTCACATTTTCTGCTTCCCCTGAGTGGTAAGCTCATACGCTTCACCTGGGCAACTCCTAATAAACTTTGGGACTCAAATCCAAGCTCGCCTCCATCGTGCCCTCCACCAAGCTGACCTGGACGTCCCTCTTGGTTTCCCTAGCACTCTAATCTTACCTCTAGCAGAGCAACTGGAACCTTCAGCCCCAAACCAAAAATCCCATTGCTGTTGAGTTGATTCCAACTCATAGCAACCCTACAGAACAGAGTAGAACTGCTCCATTGGGTTTTCAAGGCTGTAATCTTTACAGAAGCAGACTGCCACACCTTTCTCCCACGGAGCAGTTGGTGGGTTCCAACTGCCAACTTTTTGGCAACTAAGAGCTTAACCACTGCAGCACCAGGGCCCCTATCTTTGACTCAGTGGCAGCTTATTTTAGCTGGTGACTGAATTTGTTACCTTTGCAGCAGCCTAATTTGCTTTGCTTGTATGATGTTACATGATTCCCGGATCCTGTTCTTGGTCTATTCAGTCACTTGCTTTCTTTGGACAGGGCAAAGTTTAATAATGAAGATCAAGCTCTAATTCTTGACATGTTAATCCTACCCTTTGACTATTTCTGTACATGGTACATTACAATAGGTATTACTTTATGGGTGAGAGAGGCAGACACAGAGCCTTTTAGTTAATTAGATAAAAAAGCACCACACCACTGCCATCCTGCCTCCTTGGACACAAAATACAAAGAGGGAAAAAAAAAAAAAAAAGACACGCTGAGGTTTCAGAGCTGGGATCTGTCAACCAAATAAGGAAAGGAACAAGCCCTCTGCTGTCAGACAGAAGTCTCAGTTCTGGCTGTGAGCAAGGAGCGAAGGCATTCACAGTCTTACCAACCCTCTGTCGGAAGTGATGGGCAGGAGGCAAAACCCCACAGCCTCAGGGGATAAAATGGTCTTCCACCCCATTCTGCACCCAGCCTCACCACTTCCTTCCTAATAGAGGAAGTGGGGATAGGCCGCTTTTGAGTGCTGCTTGGATAAGGCCTGAATCATAAGCAAGGTAATAAAACCCCAAAACTGGGGCCCGTGTCGAAAGTTGGCAGTGCCCATGACTCAACCTGCTCATGCAGGGTTAGTCATTTCAAGGTAACATCATGCCAGTCTAACGTTCACTAACATTTTCCATTCAATGCACACGAGCCAACTCTAGAGATAACAGTCATCTCTAGAGTCTGCTCATTGCAGTTGCTCAGAGTCCTAGCTGGGTGGCTTAGCCAGCTCAAAGGGACCAGAGGTGGCAAAAGAAAGTTAATTTCCCTTCATTTCCAGCTTATATATGCCCCACGACTCAACTATTGCCAGTACCACTTCTTGGCACTGA